CAAAAAAAATCAATGAAAACAGCACTTTTGGTAACTATACGTCTATACTTTGAAATCGGCCCAATCCATTCCCATCCATACTATTACTCCCTCATCTGTACTGATCTTGGGCTTTTATGTCGGCCCATTGAATTGTGTTGTCACTTATGACTTAACATTACAACAACCAACGAGAAAATATCTTAAACTGGTTCTGCTCATGGTTCTTGTTACCATTCACCAATGTTCAAAAACTAGCTGCTTTTCAAATTCCAATTTCACTCACAGATAGCAAGGTAATGGATTCTTGTTCTTCAGTAGTTTGCAGTACTAGTAATGTTGTTTGTAGTGTTCATTCTTTCAGTAAACCAACAGCTAGGAGTCTTCTATACTATAATCATGTATACAAAAGAAGAAATTTTTTGGTTTTACAACATGGGTTTCTTGGGAATTGGAATAAAAGTAAGAAAAATTATGGTGGGTTTTATGTTATGAATGAGAAAAGCAAAATTGGGTTGAGTTCAAATGAGGTTATTGAAACTCTTAAGTCGATTTCTGACCCAACTGAGGCTTTTTCTTTTTTCAATTCTGTTTCTAAAAAGAATAATGTATTTCACACAACAGATTCATGTAATTATATGCTTGAATGTTTGAGGGTACATAGGAGGATAGAAGATATGGTTGTTGTGTTTGATATAATGCAGAAGCAAATAATTAAGAGGAATATTGAGACTTACTTGATTATTTTTAAGAGTCTGCGTGTGCGAGGAGGGATTTGTCAGGCTCCTTTTGCACTTGAGCAGATGAGTAAAGCTGGATTTGTTTTAAATGCCTTCTCGTATAATGGGTTGATACATTTGCTTCTTCAATCTGGATTTCGTAGAGAGGCTATGGAGGTATATAGAAGAATGGTTAGTGATGGAATTAAACCTAGCTTGAAGACTTACTCCGCTCTTATGGTGGCATTGGGAAAGATTAGAGACACTAAAAGTGTGATGAGTCTTTTGGATGAAATGGAAAAGTTGGGTTTGAGACCGAATGTATACACCTTCACGATATGCATCAGGGTTCTTGGACGGGCAGGTAAAATTGATGAGGCTCATGGGATTTTGAGGAGAATGGAAGAAGAGGGGTGTGGGCCTGATGTTGTTACGTACACAGTCCTCATTGATGCTCTTTGCAATGTAGGAAGGCTTGATGATGCCAGAGATTTGTTTTTGAAGATGAAATCCAGCAGTCACAAACCGGATAGGGTAACTTACATAACAATGTTGAACAAGTTCAGTGACAATGGTGATTTGAACTTTGTCAGGGAATTATTAATGGAAATGGAAGCTGATGGTTATGTCGCAGACGTCGTACTTTATACAATACTTGTGGATGCTTTATGCAAAAGTGGGCAAATTGATGAAGCATTCAGTACACTGGATATAATGAGAAGGAAAGGTGTTTTTCCGAATTTGCATACATACAATACTTTAATTGGTGGGCTTCTTAGAGTTAATAGATTGAATGAAGCGTTGGAACTTTTTGATTGCACAGAATCATATGGTATTGAACTCACTGCTTATACATACATCCTTTTCATTGATTACTATGGTAAGACAGGAGAATTTGCCAAAGCTCTTGATATGTTTGAGAAGATGAAGAGTAGGGGAATCGTTCCAAATGTCGTTGCTTGTAACGTTTATTTGTATAATCTTGCTGAGTTAGGAAGAGTTGATCTGGCCAAAGATGTTTTCCGTGGACTCAAATGTAGTGACCTTGCTCCAGATGCTATAACTTATAATATGATGATCAAGTGTTATGGTAAGACAGGGAGAGTGGATGAAGCCATAAATTTACTCTCTGAGATGATGGATAGTGGGTGCCAGCCGGATGAGATAACATTAAATTCTCTGATTGACACACTGTATAAGGCTGGTCGCGTAGATGAGGCATGGCAAATGTTTCACAAGATGAAAGAGATGAATCTTATTCCCACAGTTGTTACCTACAACACACTATTAGCGGGATTAAGCAAAGAAGGTAAGGTCCAGAAGGCCTTGGAGTTGTTTGAGGGTATGGATGCAAATAAATGTCCTCCAAACACTATTACATTCAACACACTTCTTGATTGTTTTTGCAAGAGTGGTGAGGTTGATTTGGCCTTGGAGATGCTGTGTAAAATGTCAAAAATGGATTGCAGGCCTGATGTATTAACATACAACACTATCATCTACGGTTTAGTTAAGGAAAGTAGAGGTAGCTATGCATTTTGGATCTTCCATCAGATGAGGAAGGTTTTCTTCCCAGACTTTATAACTTTGTGCACTCTCCTTCCTAGTCTGGTAAAAGATTGCCGGGTTGAAGATGCTTTTAGAATTGCTACAAACTTCTTCCTTCAGGCCCAGGATCAAGTAGACAGGTCTTCTTGGGAAGCTCTTATGGTAGGGATATTATGCGAAGCACAAATTGATCAATCCATTCAATTTGCTGAAAAGTTAGTATCAACAGGTGTTTGTCATAACGATTCATTATTGTGTCCTGTAGTTAAGTATCTATGCAAGCAGAGGAAATCGGTTCATGCCTATGAATTATTTGAGAGGTTTACCAAGAGCTATGGAGTTCCACCTACAGTTGAAACTTATAACTCCCTAATTGATGGCCTACTTGAAAACGGTTTCACTGAAATGGCTTGGGCTCTGTTTGAGGAAATGAAGAAAGCTGGATGTTCTCCGGATATTCTTACTTACAATTTGTTACTTGATGCACTTGGAAAATCTGAAAATGTGGACAAACTTTATGATCTGAAGGAAGAAATGCTTTCTTGGGGATGCAAACCGAACAATATAACTCACAACATAATCATCTCTGGGCTTGTTAAGTCCAACAGGTTAGATAACGCTATAGATTTGTACTACAATCTTGTGAGTGGAGACTTCTCCCCAACTCCGTGCACTTATGGTCCTCTTATAGATGGTCTTTCAAAGTTAGGCAGAGTGGAGGAAGCAGAACAGTTTTTCGAGGAGATGATGGACTATGGATGCAAACCTAACTGCGCTATATATAATATTCTGATAAATGGAGTTGGGAAGACAGGTGATGTTGAAGCCGCTTATCAATTGTTTAAAAGGATGATCAAAGAGGGAATTAGACCAGATTTAAAAACATACACCGTCCTCATGGATAGCTTCTGCATGGTGGGGAGGGTGACTGATGGTTTGCACTACTTTAAAGAATTGAGGTTAGCTGGCTTTGAGCCCGATTTGGTTGCTTACAATCTTATGATTAATAGTCTTGGAAGATCAGAAAGGCTAGAGGAGGCTCTCTCTTTTTTCAATGAGATGCAGGATATAGGGATTTGTCCTGACCTCTATACCTA